AAAAAAGATCATGCACTGCGATGCGTTCTAACAACGCACTGCAGCGCATGTGCATGGTGTGAACCACAATATGTGTGTGTTATGTGGGGGGAGGGAGGGGTTGTGCTTTTTTTTTTTTACACATTTTTTATTTTTACATTTTTATTACATTTTCTATTTATTTTTTAATAATTATGTATTTTTTTACTGTTGGGGGGGGCTGCGGCGAAATATCTGGGGTCTAAATAGACCCCTGACATTTCCCTTTTGAAATAGAAAAAGAAATTGAGGACATAAGTCCTCAATTTCTTTTTCTGCAGCCCCAGCACTCAATGAATGAGAAGCCTCAGTACAGAGGCTTCTCATTCATTCACAAACTACCAGGTCCGTATGGCATACTGAGCTGGCCAGCTGGAAGCACTTTTGTAGGTCCGTATGCCATACGTCCTTGGCAGCGAAAGGGTTAAAATGAGCTACGTGGTGCTAAGACCCATAGTACCTAATTACAGACCAATTCACTTTAGCCTATTAACACCAACCACTTTCACTTTGTGACATCGACTAGTACAATAAATGGAGATCAGCAAATGACAACGTACCCAGACCAAGCATATTTCGCTAGGCCCATCCATGGACTGTCTATAGACGCTACAGTTTTGGGGATAACAATCAACTCTCGTCCGCCCTCGTAACATCGCTATTAAAAGAAAACAGGAGGCATTCAATTAGTTCAGCTGTGGGTGGAATGATCCACTTGAATAATTGAAGAAGAACTCCAGAATTTTATAAAGCTCATGTGACCATGCCAAAATGAGCACATGTCCTAGTCAAATGTGCCAGAGATCCAGGAAGTAAAGGGAGATCTAGTAATCTGCCCTTAGCATAAATGGCCACTGTCAGAAGAATGGGGAAGAAAAGAGAAATAAGGTATGCATAGAATACAAAGCCGGCAATTATATTCTAGAAGTATGTGATTGTCATCAGTAAACATTCCTAAAGGTGTCTTTGTTGTTATTTTAAAGATATGGGCAAAGGTCTGCTTTAACCCTTGCAGTGCGGGCACAGCCCTACTGCAAGGGTTCATTTTGTAATTCCTGGAGTTTCTCTTTAGAGAAAGTGCAGCGAAGGGCGACCAAACTCAGAAGAGGCATGGAGGAGCTCAGCTATGAGGAAAGATTAGCTGACCTGAATTTGTTCTCTCTGGAGAAGAGGCGATTAAGGGGGGACATGATCACCATGTATAAATACATAAATGGTCCATATAAATAACTGGGTGCCAAATTATTCAAGGTCACTGCAAAGGACAAGGGGGCACTCTTTGCGTCTGGAGGAAAAGAGGTTAAGAGGTTTAACCTTTGCATACGGAAAGGATTCTTCACAGTTAGAGCTGTGAAAATGTGGAATAGACTCCCCCAGGAGCTAGTTCTAGCGAGCTCAGTTATTTGTTTTAAAAAACATCTGGATGTATTCTTAAATGCACAGAATATTACTGGATATTGAGTTATTATAGGTATATTAGGCATCAGAGATTGTTGATCCAGGGAATATCCGATTGCCTTATGGGATCAGGAAGGAATTTTTTTCCCCTGTTGGAGCAAATTGAACCATGCTTTATATTTTTTTTGCCTTCCTCTGGATCAACATTGGGTAATTGTGGGCATAGTGTTCTGTTTAGGCTTTTCTTCTTTTTTTTCTCCGTATCTCTATGGGTTGAACTCGATGGACGTGTGTCTTTTTTTTACAACCTGACGAACTATGTAACTATCAACCCATCCTTTATTCTAGTACTTATATCTGTTTTTACAACTCAAAATGCAGAGTCAGATATTGTTTTTCTGTGATCTGATTCCAAGTGCATAAAAGACAACATTTTGCATCACTCAGCTATG